ATGGAGCTGCTGCCATGTGCCAGCTCTGTTCCTGGTGTGGAGGGTCACAGTGGTGACAATGCAAAGACTTTTCCCCTGTGGAGTTTGCCTTGTGGTGCAAGAGGCAGGGATAAAATAGCAAGTAAGGCAATTTCAGAGAGAACAAAGTGTTATGAAGAAAATCATGGGGAAACGGGGAACGGCGAGTGACTTGGGGCTCAGAGATGAGCAAGAAAGACCTGTCAGGAACTAGCCATTGGGATGAGATGTGCAAGGGAAGAGGCCAGACACACAGGCCTGTGGCAGTGTGCTGTGAGCACAGAGCACAGCATGTGCAAAGATCCAGAGGTGGAGATGAGCTCAGCTTTGAGTAATAAAGGAGCAAATCCTTAATGCATGCCTGGCACACAGCAGGTGCTCAATAAATGTCCATCCTCCTAACAAAGGGGCTCATCACAAGATGGTAAGTTGGACGCACATTGTGGAAACAGTTCTCTTACTAGAGAGTCGGGGGCTCCTTCAGTTCACTTAGCATCTCCTTTAACAATGCCCACTCCCTAGGAAAGACTGGGACACTCTGCAAACACCCGCACATAGGAGAGAGAGCATAGTGCAGTGGTTAGCATCATAGACCTTGGGCCTGAGCCCCTCCAATTTGCAGCTGTAAACATCACACAGGCCACTAAACCTCTCTGGGCCTCAGTTTTTTTGTCTTTATGATGGTGGAAATGATAGGTGTTGAGGATTCGATGCATCAGGATTTGCTATCTAGAGAAATTACTCTTAATGTTACTTTCTTACATCTTTTCTAACTTTTATACACCCCAATGTCTATATTTACCTTTTTACCTGCCCAAATTTTTAAAAATATTTAGGACTATCCCTGCTGGGATGTCCAAAAGTCGAGTGTGAAACGTCCCAGGCACCCTGTGAGTGTGGACAAAGGAAGGGACCTAGATCTGAGCTACAACACCTCTTAGAAACAAAGCCAAGAGTCTGCTTTTGGTTCCTTGTCAACCTACTTGGGACTCATCCTGGGGAGTACGAGGTGGTGGGTCTGGAATACAGGAGCTGATCTTTCTAATGGGTTCCCTGTCCTAAAACATCAAATCACTGTTTGTCCTCAGTTTGAGGTGAGATCGCACTTGCTCAGATTATGCTGTAAAACAAGTTGTGCAGCTGCGACCAAATACCCAAGCAGGTTTGCCTGTGTGTGGGGGGGGATACGAGAGTATCTTGTCCCATGAATAAGCCAGAGCACCATCCAGGCAGCAACTGGCTCCATGCCGACTGACCGGGTGAATACCTTTATGTGAAGGTTCCTGTGGACACTGGAGACACCTCGGTGCTGTGGCAATAGCCCTCTTCCTGTTGCTTTCCATCTTTATCACAGTATTATACAATATTGTGCAACCAACGTTCTATGATGAAATGGAGCTGGGCTAAAGACAACGTGGAATTGCACATTGGATCCTGGAACAGAAAAAGGACTTCTAAACAGAAACTGGTAAAAATCCAAATGACACCCACATTTTAGCTAAAAGGAATGCCCGGGTGTTGCTCCTTAGCTTTGATAAATACGATGCTGATGTCAGGGGAAAGTGGGCCGAGGGGTGTGCAGCACAGGAGGCAGAATCTGAGCAGCCTTTCTGTAAATAATCAGAGTATTCCAAAACAAAAGCTTTGTTTCAAAACGACAGAGCTGGGGAAGTGTCAATTCAGGTTTCACCCAAGGCCCCTGCCTCACACCTGTCATTGAGAAGGCTGAATGGCGTGACATTCACCCTCCAGTCCCAGAGGGGTGAGGAGGTGTCACTGGCAGGCAGGGAGGTGGGGGTGGGGGAAGCAGAGCATGTTTCTAGAACTTGAGGACAAAGTGTGCCTTCAAAAGCAAACTATAATTACACAGACGCTGAGGAGTCTTTGCAGAAAATCAGTCTCTCGACAGAACCTACATCCTGTTAATCAAAGAGGTCAAGGCCCTTTGATTATCAGACTAAATATTTTTAGGCAATATCACTGAATGCCTGGAAAGAACATGAACAGCATCAGCTGGAGAAACATCCATCTTGAGATAAGAAACCAAATCCTGCACATCACAAGAAAAATCAACCCCAGGAAATTTATTAAGAAAAGTTGGCAAAAATGTCCCCCTGTCGAAGCTCTCTCCTCCTGGCCTGCTTCACCACATCCTTCTCCACCTGTCACCCCTCCCCACACCCAGGTGTACACCGGATGTTAGATCTCTTAGCATTTGGTGCAAAACTAAAGGAGAAATCGGAAATGGACTAAGCATTCATATTAAGAAGACGAGGAGAGAGAAAGAGAATGAAATGATTATTCTCTTAAAGCAGTGCTGAGCGGGCCATTCAATAGAGATGAAAATGACATTTAAGCTCAGTCAGATTCATCAGCTTGGATGTTTAGTCAAGAACAACCTAAAAATGGTATCATGTACTCTGCTCAGTATACGGTGAGCAGACGCTTCTTTCTTTCCATGTTTTGGTAAATCTTGAAGTTCCTATAATGACCAGAAAGGGATTTTCTATTTAGTAGTTCATCCTAACTCAGGTATGAGTGACTGGTCGGATTTTCAAACTATCAGATTGGATTCCTTCCCTGTTTCTTCTCTATCCATCAAAATGGTCTCTGGTGATTGGCTAACTTTTTAAACCCCTAACAACTAATTAATATAAATTATCTAGTCCTATCTTCTCAAGGAACTTCTCCCCCACCCATCATTCCTTCTTCTAAACATACCGTGTTTTTTTTTTTTTTTCGGTGCCTATGATACATACATAGCTCCTGTAAGTCAATAAAAAGATAAGCCATTACAAAGTAATCTGTTAGTACTGTTAACTACACAATTGATGTGTCATATAAATTAAACTTACTAATGAAATCTGGGAAAGGCTACATGCTTTTTATTTTTCTTATACAGATATTCCCAAGAATGTTAGGAAAAAAAGATTGGTTCAATCTGTCAAGATTCAATGAAATTAACCTCTGTGGCATTTCTTATAAAAACACAACATGTGTGACATTACTCCTGGAATTCTTCCCTGGAGTTTATCAGGAATGTTCTAGTGTAGTTCTACCCAGTGGACTATTACAAGGGACTTTCTCCTCTGGATAAGATCGCCATATTCTTGAGGCACAAATATAGATCAAAAGCAAGAATCATAAATAAACCAAAGTAGCTGGTCATAAGAGATGTCTGAATTACTCAGTACCTAGACATCCATCTCTGAGCAGTAATGTATTTTCAGTACAACTTAAAACAAAAGTCCCTTATTTAAGTAACATTCTTGCTGTTTTCTTCCCTTTTGCCTAATAGAATGATGAGGCTCAGGTGACTTCAATGAGTTTGTCATTCCATTTCTGTACAAAATTCCAAACCATCTCAGAGACGGAAACTTCAAATGAAAAACCTGTCTACAGTCACTTTCTATAGGAAGGGACTCAGCTCCATGTCAGTTTCTCTGCTCCATGATCACGTGCACTCGTTTTTGGGACCCACACACACCTAGGTTCAAGGAACTTCTCACTGTCATCTGGAAGACAATGTGTTCATGTCCACTGTCATCTGGAAGACAATGTGTTCAATCAGACGCAGCAGTTGCCATGTCAGAGTGGGGGCCATTTAGCCTATCTTTTGGGGCTGTGGGATTTGGTCATAATATTTCCAATGGCTGATGTATTTTTCTCTAAAAAGTTGGCTACTCCTAATAGTATTTCATAATCCAGTTCATAAATAAATAATGTCAAGTTCTTTAATATAATGAAATCTAAAACATTCCATTTGGTAGTCCATTTTTCAACCCATGTAAATACTGACTTTGCTAAAACACTGTAACCATTTCCAAAACCACAAAAAAAAAGTCACCATGCAGAACATGCATCACCAATGTCAAATCCCACAGACTTCTTCCTCTACCCATTGAGCATAAAAATGTGCAACCAAACAGCCCAGCACCATGATTCAGCACCTAAAACACCCATGTACCTCCTAGCGGCCTTCCAGCCAAGGACACAGGCTGCAAAGGCATGTAGCTCCAAAACCGTTCTGCCCCAGGAGCCTCAAGCCACAGCTGAGGACATCCTTGGAACTGCCTGGCTTTTGTTATTTCAGACCAAGCCCTCCACATTTCATTCACGTGAGGGTTACTTGAAAACACAATTGCTGGGAATAACCACGGCGGTGTGCTATTGTCAAGAACTAACCCATCTTAGTTTTCTCCATTCCCGTTTTCTGTGTTTCGGTTCCACAGTGTATGCTGGACATACAGACCTTTGAAAGGACAGAAAATCTTCAGGAGCATTCCAAGATCCCCATGTATGATTTATTTGCTGAAGAATACCTCTGGAAACGCAGAGTATTTCCTGGCAGAACAGTGGAAATTTGCTACTGCTGAATCACATGTGTGTCCCACACCAACATGACCACAACCCAACACCTGCCCAGGACCCACCCCCCAAGGAGTGTTTTGTGGATTATTTTTATAAAGCTCTAGCTTCATTTTTAGAAAAGATACAATTCTTCTGAACTAGTATTTGTTAATTAAAAACAGCATGAAATCTAAAAGTAACAACTGGTTTACCTCAGGAGGTGGACAAGTGTTGAATGAACTCCCAGCCAGCAGATGACCCAGGCAAGACAGAGCAGCAAAATAACCATTGGCAAACAGGTTAACGACCCAAGATGAGCCCACCAATAACCCTCCAGTTAACCAAGGCCCAGCCATGACTAACTAACCCAGAGGACATCTATTAAGAGATCCACCAAGATGAACCAACCAAGTTGTCCACTATTCGACGCAAGATCGACCGTATGAAACCAACCAAGTGGACCATATTTGACAGAGAAAGCAACCTAGATCACTCAGGCTCATCCAGAAGAGAGAAAAGAAAGCTTCTGATTTGCTACAAGGGGAAGCTCCTGACAAACCCAAATGCACACCACAGACTCTGGCAACCTGATCGCAGCCGGGGTTGGAAATGGCCCGTGCAGCGGTACTTACGGAGATTATTGATGGGGGCCCTGGTGTCTGTGTTCTCGTAGTGTTGGACGTGCACCACAATGTTAAGGTCTCTCTCCATGTGGTCAGGGTTGCAGTGGCCCTGTGGCCTCATGACATCCGCAAGGGCCCTGGAAGAAGAGAGAATGGAAATCTGTTCATTCAAAATACAATGACCACCTCCTGCCCAGCGCTGTCCTCGTGAACAAAACAGACATGGCTCCACTTAGGGGTGGGGCAGAGGAAAACAGCCACAGCTAAATCTCTGCAGTCAGAGGTCATTTAGAGACACCCCCAGACTCACTCCAACAGCCATGGAATAACAGTGTTGTCTACCCACGGAGCTGTGGAGAGGACTGACTGATGGACACATGTTGTGTGTCTCCACCCCATGACTCAGATCTGTCTATACCTAACACAGATGCCAGCACTTCAGGTAGCAGTGGCCCAATATTAGTGACCACAGCTAGCATCTATGGAGCACTTGCTACAAGGCAGTCACTATGCTAAGCACATTGCAGGCCTAACTAAACAAAACAGCCCAAAACAGTCCTCGTGAGGATCATTATTCCTTTGTAAAGGAACCGCAAAGGCTCAGAGAGGTGAAACAACCTGCTCAAGGTCACACAGCCAGTAAGCTGTGGTGTAGGAATGAGAACCACTCTTTTCTCCCTTCCTTCCTTCCTTCCTTCCTTTCTTTCTTTTCTTTTCTTTTTCTTTTTCTTTAGAGAGGATGAGAACACAATTCAACCCACATCAAGGACCTTCACGGTCAGATGTACGCTCAGGAGAGAAGCTCTGGGATTGCACATAGGACAGAGCAGAGACGACCATCAAACAGATATCACACCCTGAAGTCAGACTGACCAATACATTTTTCCTCTTTATCTACCTTCCATTACGTGTTTATTGTGACATGCAAATATCCTCAACAGACATGGAATAAAGTAGGCATTATTATTTGTGTGCTTATCTTTCCCACAAACCTCATTCTGGTTCTCCCTCTGTCCGCGCAAGATGAGAGCTAGCCGCATCGCTTGTGTGAGTTTCTTTCATCCCTTGCAGGCTCTGCACGGTGCTCCATCATCTGCAACCCCCCAGGCTCACTTACCTGCAGGGACAATTGTCTCCATATGCCGTAACTACTGTGGCGGAGGAACCCACCAATCAGAATGGATGCCAGCTATAAATATCCAGTTGTTCCATTACAAACCAGTAGGCTGCCGGTTCTGTCTAGCATTTCCATGACTACGGCCATCTAGGTGGTCACCAACACTCCAGTCCCAGTGAACAACTCCTTGACAGACACCTTCACACAAGTCTCCTCTTGAAGCGGCAATGGTTTTTCCAGGGCATATACCCACAAGTGCCATAGTTTAGGGTATACCCAGATGTTCCTAACTAACCAGCACCCTCTCAGTCCACAGAAAGGGAGATGGAGGGGGAAGATGAACTGTTGAGGAGAGGCCCCCACAGACCACCAATGCACTTGGAAGACCCACTTATCTCCCGAAACCGACCCCACTACAGCGGTGATTCTCAAATAGTGGTTTGCCAACCAGGAGCATCAATATCACCTTGGAACTTGATAGAACTTTTGGGATCCATCCAACCTTACAGGGTCAGAATCTAGGGTCGGGCTGATGCAGGGTGTCTGCACGGAACCCCCAGGTTGCTCATGCACACTCCAGTTCTCCAGCTTGAGACTGCAGAGAGGCCTCAGGCTTGAGGGAACGTTTGATTGTGGTGCAGGGATATCATGGGGGCAAAAACCACACTAGCTAGGGAGAAGTCTCAAGCATGAGAGAGACCTAGGTCAGCACCACAAGAGTCCTATGGCAGCTAGAGGAAAGGGCTGAGTCCACCGAGAGATGGGAGAATAACCACAGCTCTCATTCATTTGTTCATTCAACAAATGTTTATTGTCTGCTCTGAGCCATGCACAATACAAGCCCTGGGGATACAGCAGCACACAGGTGACCGCAGTCTCTGCCTTGCTGGAGCTTACATTCTATGGAAGAGAATAAAAATAAACATGTTAAATAAATAAACAAGGGTGGAAAAGAAATGAAGAGCACAGGGTGGGGAGAGACTGGTACATAGCAGCATTGCTCACAATAGCCAAAACGTGGAAATGATCCAAATGTCCATCAGCTGGTGACCGCAATATGAAATGAAATAGTATTTAGCCATCAAAATGAAGGAAGCCCTGACACCAGCCACGACATGAATGACACTGGAACACATTACGCCCAGTGAAAGAAGCCAGACACAAAATTCCACAGGTCATATGATTCCATTGATAGCAATGTCCAGAAGAGGCAATTCCACAAAGAGAGAAGGCGGAGTTGTAGTTGCCAGTGGCTAAAGGTGGTGAGAGGGAATGGGGAGTGGCTGCGGAGTGACAATGGGGATATTTTTTTGAGGAGGGAGGGGAGGGATGAAACATTACTAGAATTAGTGGATTGGAAGCCAATAGTGATGGTGGTTGTACAATGTCATGAATATGATACCGATCACTGAACTTCATGCCTTTTAAAAAATTCTAAAGAGAAAGAGAGAGAGGTGGTGTGATCAGGAAAAAAACTTGGTGAAGATGTGGCCTTGGAGAGAGAAGGAACTGGTCATGTGGTGCTCCAGTTTGGATCTGGAGTGTCCCTGTGTTCAAGGCTTGGTCCCCAGCTTGAAGCTCTTGGGAGGAGGTAGAAACTTTAAGAGGTGAGGCCCAGTGGGAGGTCTTCAGGTCACTGGGGATGTGGCCTTCAAAGGGGACCATGAGACTTGGTACCTTCCTCTTTCTCTCTTTTTGCTTCTCTGGCCATGAAGTAAGCAGCTTTGCTGTACCGCATGCTTCTGCCCAGATGTGCTGCCTCACCACAGTCTCAAATGCAAAACATGATCAATCAATCATGGAGAGGAACTTCCAAAACCATGAGCTAAAATAAACCTTTTCTCTTTATAAGTTGATTATCTTGGGTGTTTGTTACAGGAACAGAAAGCTGACTAACAAAGTGGAGATGGTGGAAAGAGCATTTCAGACAGAGCAAACAGAAAGTGCAAGGCCCCTGAGGCAGGAAAGAGGTAGATTTTGAAGCATACTCAAGAAGGCCAATAAAACTGAAATAGGGCAATATAAGAGGGGAGTATTACAAGGTGTGGATTATCACAATCCATTTTACAGAGGGGAAAACTGCCCAACTTAACCCAGATGACAATCAATGGAGGGGAGGAGTGGAAATGCAATCCTGAATGTCTTTGAAATCAAAGTCCAGGCTCCTTCCTACCTCTGTGCAATAAGCAAGGTCTGAAACTCAAAGGGGTTGCAGGGGAGGGAGGTTTTGAGACACAGGACAGAGGCCTCCCCATCCTAACTTGCCTTTCTTACTTCTAAACGGGTTCTTCATCCTGAGCTTCAAGGGATCGCTGAAGTCCTCTGTAATCGAATGGAAAATTCGTTTGTGCATTGTTCTTGAGCAAGAGCCATACCTTTCATCAGATTCCCCAATGGGTCTCCCCAAACATCCAAAGCAGTCAACTTTCAAGAGGATAGGGAAGCGAGAAATCAGGATGGCTACCAGGAACTTGGTCAGAACTGCCATCTGCAGATCCCCTGAACCTCTTTTAAGTGTTGAAAACTGTCAAATTGCAGCTTCAAAGCCCAAGGACACTTCTCCCCAGGGCCGCCATTCCCAGAACAGGCAGTGGAGGCAAGAATCCCTAGAGACCTCCACTTCCTGGTCAAGGAGTGTCTAGAGCAGGGTTCACTCATTCCCGCTCTGCATAAAATGAAGCGGCGAGGGCAAAGGAAAGGTCAGAACAGTTATGTATGGCCTTGAGTCATTACAGATGAGAGATCAATCCAGCTGCACGTACCAATGCCATGCCTGCATTGAGAACTCTCACATCAGATGGCAGGAATGGAGGGTGAGGGCCAGCGGCACCCTCACAGGTCTAGGAACCCCAAAGGGACACACAGATTAAATTCTCTACTTTTGACTCTGCCAACCATTCAAAGCAGACACATACCTTTAAAAATAGCCCCCTTAACAAAAACACAGGCTGAAGACACTGTAGGCAATGCTGACACACATTCAGTTGACCCTCCTCTTCAGCAGTTTCCCACAAGGTTAAAACAGCCGTGATCTGTGCAGACCCTAACAAAGTCAGCCAAAAAGAACCAAAATGGGGAATATCCAAAGGGTGGATTTGTTTACTACTGAGGAATGTCGCCCTCCACATGCATTTCACTTTGAGATTTTAGCTAAGGATAGTGGGAAGTCATTGCCACTAGCAACAGATTTTGAAGTCATGTTTATTTCACGTTTAGCTCAGTTTAAAAATTTCTTCTTAGGTATGCTTTATTACATACTTCATAATTGCCCACAGGTGTATGAGTATATTTATTAGTAAAGCACATGTGTGTATGGTCGGAGTGCATACTAAAAACATTTTTGTGAATAGAAATGTGTTAAAATGTTTTCACAAATTAGGCAGTGGAAAGAACCAATGGTGGGTCAGAAATCAAACCAATGCCTAAGGATTTGGCGTTTGCTTGTGGCACAGAGTTTAGGTGCTTCTTAGACTTTAATGAACATTTGGATTATCTGGGGATCTTATTAAAATGCAGATTCTGGTTCAATAATCTGAGGTGGGCCTGACATTCCACTCTAGCTCCCAGGTGTGAAGAAGTTGCTGGCACAAGAGCCTAAGACTTCCATAATAGTTCATGTGATGTGTCAGTTCCACTGACCATGCTGTGCCCAGATGTTTAATCAAATAGTATTCTGGGTGTTTCTGGGAGAGTGTTCTTGGAGGAGATTAACATTCAATTGGTTAACTGAGTGAAGAAGACTGCCCACCCTAATGTGGGTAGTCCTTAGTAAATCACTTGAGGGGCTGCATGGAGCATAAGGCTGGCTCTTCCCTAAACAGGAGAGGCTCTCCTGCCTGACAGGGGGACACTGCTCTTTCTGGTTCTACAGCAGCCTGCCTGCGGCCTTCACACTTGAACTGAGACATTACACTGCAGATTTTGGACTTGCTGACTCCTTGTAATAAATCTCTTGATATATTGGTTCTGTTTCACTGGAGAATCCTGCCTTAGACGGGATTGGAGAAGCCACACTTTGAT